TGTGCAGAGCTGGCAAGGAAACAGCCCCTGGAAAAGGAATTGCAGCAGCCCCTGGCACGAAGGTGCTGGGATAATATCCAGCTAAAGTGAGTCACCTCGTGCTGCTGCAGTGGTGTGCTCTCAGGAAACTCTCTCTTTGATATGATCTTTCTTTAAAAGTCAAATCTTTCCTCTGGGAAAAGGCAAGTCTTGCCTTAGGCTGACCTACCTTGTTTTTGGCTGGAAAAAGATCTTTTCCCTTGGCTGCCCCATGACTTTCACTCACAAACTCCCTGAGAACATTTTTAAAAACCATTATTTAAGTCATCCCTATCCGGCAGCATGAATCCCAGTTCCAAAAATGGTTTTATTGCCCTAAGCTGATAAAATGCCCATCCTTTCATTCAGACACATCTTCCTGCCTGTAACAAACGATGCTGAGGGTTTCACAGGCCCCGGGGAGGTGCTCAAGTCTCACCCATGTCCTTGCACTGTCATCTGACAGCAGCTTGTGGCACTGCAGAATTTGCCTTATTGGCACCATTTGTGGGATGGAAATTCACAGAGATTCATGCACTTCCACAAATTCAAGAGAGTTTGATCTACAGCCTTAAAAAGAGCTTAGACTGATGTAAAAATAAAGCACACAGACATTAAGTAGAAAAGTCATAAATTTATGTTTCTATAGTTGTAAGTAAAAATATATCTTAAGTAAGAAACTATATTGAGTAAAATAGTAGAATCTATAGTATAGTAATATATATAATATATATTATATATAGAAGTACATAATATAATTTATATTTTATAGTAAAGTATAAATTATATAGTAAATATATTTAATATATATTATATATGAATATACTATCCAATATATGTTATATATTAATATTATATATTAATATATTAATATATAAAATATATTAATATGTATTAATATATTATATATATTTAAATATATATTATATATTTTATATATAAGAATATATCTTAAGTAAGAAACTATATTGAGTAAAATAGTAGAATCTATAGTATAGTTATATACAATATATATTATATATAGAAATATATAATATAATATAATATAATATAATATAATATAATATAATAATTATATTATAGTATATAAATTATATACAGCAATATATAGAGTAAGTTGAGAGATTAAAAGTTATAATAAAAACATATGTGTATATGTACAACAGCCTATTAAGCAAAAATATTCATAGTACAGCAGAAGCAAGTAAAGGTAGTAAGTTAGAAAAACAAAATAACTATCCATTAAATCAAAAAGGTATATATTATCTTACAGCAAAAAACTTATAACTACTTTGTACTATAACCAAATACCTACTCCTCCAAAAAATCTCACAACCTAATGTTTATCTAAACAATAAATCATTCTGAACCCAACAATGTCCCATCTCTTTATTACAAACAACAACAATCACCAACAGTCATTGTGGGTGACACGGAGGGTGACTCTGTGCCCAGTGGTGATTTATGGAGCAATCTCACTCAGGATCCTTGAAGGCAGCAGGGATTTGGTGTGAGGAACTGCACCACAAATCTTGAAGCAGAGAAATCTTGGCTTAGTTATGTCAAGATAAAAATGATTTTAACTGCTGGCCTGCTGAATGCCCAAGATGTCACATAAACTGGAGCCAAATCCAGCAAAAATATTGCAATAATTCAATTATTTCTTATACCAGCCTCACTTACTGCCCTGTGTACAGGATAGCCATGCACACACTCCCTATGTACCCTCACCAGAGGGAATTGCTCCACTTGGAGTGAACCATTTTAGCCCTACTCTTGTGTGTGGATCAGATGTAATTTAAGGGAAAATGGCAATTATTTTTTTCTTTCTTGTGATAATTCCTTTTAAATCACTATCCATCATCAAATACATTTGAATTACACAACTTAGACACCTGCTTACCAGTAAATTTTAAATTTCTAATTATTGCTAGTGGTTGTGTTTGTAAGGATTTGTGCCTGATGCCTAAAATTTCTTTGCAAGCTGCTCAGAATGCTTTGCACTAAAAGTAGAGACATAAACCTACCAGTGTTAAACAAGAAATTCTTCAGAAAGTCAAAGCTGTTCTTCTTCTTTTTCATCTAAATGGGCCATTCAAAAGCGAACTTGGTAGGGCAGGAACTGCTCTGTAGTGATGAAAAATGCCTCCATAAGTGAGTGGACTGAGTCTCTCGTGTTTTAGGATTCACTGAGCTCCAAATGGGAGAATAATGTGGATATGAATGGGATAAATGATGTCCTGGAGTTGTCCTCTGACAACACAGCCCAGCCAGGGACTGCCAAGAAGATGAATATCCAGAAAAGGGGAGAAAAATATTCTTTCCAGTACTGCCAGGGAAGTTTTTCTTAATCTTTTTAAAAAATGTGCAATCCCTTGCCTAGCTACCAACAGAGACTGGAGATAGAAGCACTTGAGGAATGGAGATGGGGGCAGGAAAAATTCATGAAAGAGTCGTGTGCAGGATGAGTTACAGTTCCAAAAGTGTTATAACATCAACTTTCATTCTGATGTCAAGAGCATGACCAGCTGCTGAATTTTGGTCCTGCAGAATTCTCATTTCTTCAGTGCACAATCCATGGACTGCAAGGCACAGACCCTGTTTTTTCCCAGATAAATGTCAAAGCTGTGTATCTGCAAAAATAAAGGCCAGTAAATGGTGTCTGAAGTAGCTATTAATCTTTGGAATTAGTTGCTCCAAGTGCAGATTGCAAGTACATGAAACAACAAAAAATGGAATTAAATTAGGGAGATTTATCGTGAGCAGTTGTTTCACGGTGGTTTGGGTTTCAGCGGGAGCACAGAGCAGAGAAAGATCAGCACAAAGACATAAATTAAGTAGGAATACTCCAAGGAAAAATCTTGTTTACTCTGTGCAAGCATCCATGTCATCTGTCACCTGGGAGCACAGGACCGAGGGCACGGGTGGGAGCTCCTGGATCTGCTGAGAGGTGCTGGATCAAGGTGCAGGTATTAATATTGGAACAGTGTTTGTGGAAGGAATTGGAGAATGCTGTGGTGTCAGACAAAGCCCTCTGAGCAGGAAAAAATCAGCTCAGAGGTGGGAGAGGTGGCAGTGTTGTGGCAGTGATTGGTTCCTCTCTGGATGTACTGAAGCTGAGTGAGCCTTTCAGTAATTGCAGCGCAGCCTTGAGATGGTGTTGGATGAGATCTGGGTGGAGGTGACAGTGACCTGCAGGTGCTGAGCTCTGCCAGCATCCCAAGGTGACACTTCTGTCCTGAGGGAGTCACCTTTCCATGGGCTGGCTCTGAGCTGTCCACAGTTACCACTGGATGAAGAGAGAAACCTGAGGAAAATTAAAGAATTTCTCTGTTTGAAGAGAAATTCTGTTTTAAATGCCTGACTACAGCTCTGGGGGAGAGGAGAGCTGGTGAAATGAGGCAGAGCAGGTGACAGGGACCTGGAGCAGGTGACAGGGACCTGGAGAAGGTGACAGGGACCTGGAGCTGTGCTCCCTGCAGGGACAGCCTCTCAGCAGCCGGGCGCAGGGTGAAGCCTCTGTGGCACAAAATGCTCTCCAGCCCAAATGCTCCCTCCCTGTCCTCTTCTGTGCCTGAAAGAGCTGTGCCATGGGGCCACCTCAAACCCTGTCAGCCCCCAAAACCCAGCTGCACCTGTGGGGATGACTCCATGGGCCAAGCAGGGTTTACAGAATCACAGCAATGCAGGCTCATTGCATCTGCACAGGGATCCCAGAGCTCCTTTGGGAATCCCAGACCATGCAGAGACACAGCACTTGTGCTGTCCCACTGGAATCCCCCTCCCTGTACCTCTGCAGCTGTGAGGGAGGTGACCCTCATCACTTTTAACTCTTCACTCCCTTTCTCCCCATAAGAGTAATCCCTGGTTTTACTTCCCAGCAAAATTCCCTGGCAGATGAACTGAGCAGATTTTGTTACTAAGAACTTTTTTTATAGCAGTAGAGTTACAGAGAGAACTGGCCAAAGCACAGTTACTGCTAGAAAACCTTTAGGAACCTTAACTCTAAATAAATCAAATATATTCCCTTAACTACTGAGCTTTATAAGGCACACCTTGCTCTTTTTTCAGGTTCCCATCATCATATTCTGGCAAGCTTCAAGATGAAATCCTTTGGCTTCCATCAGCGTGCAGCTATTGACATTTGGGCATGGATCAAAGTGAATTTCCACAGCTTTCAGGTATAAGGAATAATTGGAAGATTTTTTTTTTTTTTTTGGTTTTTTGCTTTGTTTTGTTTTGCTTTTTGGTTTTTTGGGTTTTTTTTTTTTGTGTGTGTGTATCCACAGGGTATAACACTCCTCTGCAGACCCATTTTAGAGTGGATATAAAATAAATCCAGCAAGGCTCCTCTCTGCTCAGCAGGGCTGCAGCCAGGTAAAGTGAAGGCAAACAGGGTTTAGTGTCTGTATCTTGACAACTTTTGTGGTTCTGTTTGTTCCTTCCAGGTGGAGGCTGGACAAGCTGCTGGAGGAGAAATTCAGGGGGAATTATAAAACAAACAGCCCCCACATTTGGCTGAGGGAGCCCTGAGCAGCCCTCCTGGTGTCTCTAAAGTGACATACATGCAGATATACATACTTACACACACAAATGTGTATAAATGCCTTGTTCTTACAGCTCTGCTTTGGCACCTGCCTCTGTGTCCATCCCAGGCAGGATGCTGGGCAGCTTCAGCCTGACTGCACGAGTCCATTCCCATCCTCCAGGCCCTGCATGTCCACGGAGATGTCCAAAACCCCACGTCCACTCCTTCCGTCCCTCCCATTGTCAGGCACGGCCTGACTCACGTCCCCTTCCTTGCTTTCTCTGTGTGCTCATGTAATTTCCAAGCCACCTTCCTTCCCTATTCCACACCCCAATTTATTTTTTCCTAAGGGTCTTTCCCCTCCTTCCAACTGGTTTTCAGAAAACCAGCGTCACCCTGGTTTAACGAAAGCCCCTGGATGTTTATCACGTTGTTAAACCATTTCCTTCGAGTGGGCTCCAGATGAAGTTATCACTGTGTCAAGGCGTGATGCAAACCCCGCAGCAGGAAGCACACAAAGGGAGAGCCCACCAGGCTCTTGGGAAGTTTGGGTGAACTGTTTGTAAAAATCTGCCGAGCCCACCCCTCCGAGACCTTTATTTCCCCCTGCGGCAGCTGTCATCTGATCCCACGCTTCGGCTCTGAATGGGGCTCTCGGAGGATGCCAGATGTTGGGAACAAAGGTCTAAAAATAATCTTTCCAAGTAATCTTCCCGTCCATCACTCAAGGAGAGCGTCAGCTTTGTGCGAGCATGTGAGCCGAGAACCTGATCTAACTTCAACAAGTTCAACAGCAGCTCCCGGCTTCTGCCTCTGGGCTCCTTTTTTTTTTTTTTTTTTTTTTTTTTTCTTTCTTTCTTTTTTTTTCATTCCTTCCCCTTTCCCTTCCCAGAAGCTGCGCAGGGAAAAGCGGCTGGGAGCGCTCAGCCCTCGCTCTCTCTCCCTCCCTCCTTGCCAAGCCCGGAGCCGCCCGGACCCCGAGAGCTCCGGGGCTCCTTCTTCCATCTCTCCCTGGGGAAAAAAAAAAAAAAAAATGAGCTCCAGGCTGCTGCCAGAGATGCGTTTCTGTCAAAAGATCTTCGCTGCAGCCCTGTGTGTGCTGGTTGTGCTGCCGGAGCCGGGCTGTGCCAGGACTCTCTGGAAACGCGCTCTGCTGAAAATGACGGAGAAATACGATGTGAGTGAGCCTGGGGGGTTTGGGGGATGCTCGCCGAGAAAAGGGGACTTTTCCTTACGTGGTTTGGGATAAGGAGTGTTTGGATCGGCGGGCTGGGTCTGTGTCACAGCCATTCACGAAGTTTTCCCAGGCGGTGCGAAAGTTTTGCCACCTAGCTGCTGCAGGGGGAAGCTTGGAGCAGGGAGAGAGCTTTGGGATGGCTCTTTCCTGGAAACTCCCCAGGGCAGCCAGGGGAAAAGGGACCGGGGAGAAGGGGGATGCAAACCCTGCGGCTCCGGGGAGAGGTTTAGTGCGAGGAAGATAATGGGATTTATTGCTTGGAGCAAGGGAGGGTTCCCTGCCCAGCTCCTGTGCCGCCTTTTGGGGTAACTGTGGTAAATGTGCGCTGGAGGGAGGGATGGGGGCATTGCCCACGGTTCTGTAAATCCCTGGAGCACCGAGAGCTCAGCCCCACAGAGCCAGAGCAGCGTGCCCATCACCCTAAAGGGTGGTGATGCCAGAAATCCATCCCCTGCCAGCAGAGCTGCTGGCACGCCCTGGCACACCCTGGGTGCCTCCATCTGTGCCTGCTCCTGGCACCGGGCACTGAGCACAGCCACCACCTCCAAACCCGCTCTGGACAGAGCTGCCCAGAGCACAGTCACTGCTAGAAAACCTTTAGGAACCTGAAGTCTAGTTAAACAGGAGTGCTGGAACTGGAACTGGGACAGAACGAGGAGGGGATGGTGCTGGGGCTTGCCCTGGTGGGTCTGGGCCAGACAGCTGTCAGAGATGGTCACAGAGGAAATGGGAATTGGGGAAAAAAAGGGAAATAATTTGATATCTTGAGTTTTGGGGCTCAAGATTTAAAAAGAAAAACAAAAAACTTTTTAAACTTTTTAAAGTTTAAAAAGAAAAAACTTTAAAACTAAAGATTTAAAAAGAAAAACAAAAATGTTAGAAAAACTCTTATAAATAGTTTGTAAACTTTAAACTTTTTAAAGTTTAAAAAGAAAAAACTTTAAAAAAAAAAAACAGAAAAGAAAGAAAAAAGTAAAAAGGTTTTTTTTTTCAGAAAGAAAAAAGAAAAAAGTTTTTTTTTCTATTAAAAAAGAAAAAAAAGTTATACATTTGAAATTTTTACTTGATCCATTCAAGTTCCCTTAGAAAGCAGCACTGATCCAAGGTTTCTTCCCCATGAAATGCTTGGGTGCAAGCCCCAAATAGTTTATTTTCTTATGCTCAGGTCTGACTGCATCTTCCAACCACTGCATGTGTATAAACAGCACCTTGGTGTCACAGGCAGATCCCTCCATCTGTTTTCTGCAGCTTTTAATTCAAAAAGGATGTTTTTATGCCCATGAATTTTAGAGTGATATTTGTGCATGGCAACATTTGGTTTGTGCAATTCCTGACTCAGAATTGTGACACACATCCCTTGCCCCCAGTGAGCAAACTGAAATTCTGTCTTGCATCCTTGAAATTGTGCAGAAAACATTGTGCTGATATTTGAAAGGCACCTCAGGATTTTGTAAAAAAATCTTCTTTATAGCCTCTCTTGGGCTAGGGTATGCTCTGGTTTGCACTTTAATTGGAAAATGGATATAAAGAGCTGCATTTCCTGCAAAATCACTCACTGGAAAGTGCATTTATCTGGATGTTCTGCCATGTTTCAGTGTGAAGCTCAAATTTAGTAGGAACTATGAGGTGAATGACCCAGAGAGATAGGACAGGAGCAGAAGAGGAATTTACATGTTGATTTTCAGATAAGGAGCCAGCTCCCCTGGGGATATATCCTCTTCTTTCAACCTGCACTTCTTCAAAGGGCTGTTTTTCCTGGCAGCCCTGAATCCAGGTGCTACTGATCTGGCAAGCTCAGCTAGAATTGCTCATATTGACAGAAACATTGATCCAGGGAAAACAGAAAATGCTTTTCTTTCTCCTCCTCGAAGCCTTGTCAGGGGGAAAGCGTCTGCTCTCCATCCTCTCCTGCACCAGGAGGCAGTTCTGGCAGCCCCTCTGCTTTCTCAGAGGGATGTTTTCTTTCCTACCAAATGCTGTGTGTTCCCTGTGGTTGGAAAATCAGAGTCTGGGGGCAGAGCAGCTGATTTGTGAGTCACTTGGACGGAGGGATGACAGATGGAGGTGCTTATGGCAACGTGGGACGTGGGTCACAGACATCCCTGTGGGACCCCAAAGGACACAGCTTTGTGTGGTCTGAGCCCAGAAAATCTGAGGCTGCAGCAGGGAGGGTGTATCCAGAAAAATGCTGGGTGCAGAATGACGGGCAGGTGTGAGGATGAGGAGCTGGCCAGGGGGTTTTCATTCAGCCTGAGGAAGGGTGTTGCTCGGCAAGGAGGGGTCAAGTGGGACTGGAGAAGGGAGAAAGAGGGATTGCAGTGAGGAGAAAAACCTGGCAGGCACAGTGGGATGCTGGAGCTGAGCTTTAAAACAAATCCATCTATTTTCCAGAAGGAGGCTTGTCGAGTTTAGTGATTTGCAGCTGGTGTTCTGCAGCCCCCACACTCCAGGGACTGTTCCCAGGGGGCAGAGGGAGGGAGCTACCTGGGAGTGGGTTCAGTTCATTATAAAACACCCATCATGTCTGTTGGGAAAAACTGGGCCAGTCTGGATTTCATTCCACTGTCAGCTACAGCAAGTGTTTTAGAAAAATCCCAGCCTTCTTCTAAAGTTTTCCAGAAATGAAGAATTCCTCACAGCTGCTGTAATGCTCTTCCAACTATTTATTTACCCTGCAGCAGCCAGCTGTCATAAATCAGTCTTGGGGTACCCTCTTTGTGTTCTGGCCCCCAAATCCTCAGAGTAACCTGTGCGCAGAGCAGCCTCAGCCTCCCCTTTGGAACCTGCACACACACACACACCTTTTTCTGTATTTCCCTCTTTCCAGCCTTTTACTCATTATTGTGCATCTCTTTGGAGCCCACCCCAGTTCTGCAGGGTTCTTCCAACTGCAAACAGCAGATCCAAAATGACAAATCCTGAGCTAACAACAGGAGAATATTATTCCCATTGCTTTGGTCTTGTCCTTCAGATTGTATAAGCTGATTTCAGGCTGATGTTTGCCACTTTGATCATCACTGATGGGTGACTTTCCAGGTCTTTAATGGAAATATTGGAGGATTCAAAATTCTCTCTGACTGTGGTGGGCTTTTTTTGTTTTTTTTGTTTTGGTTCTTTTGTTTGTTTGTTTGTTTGTTTGTTGTTTGTTTTGTTTTGTTTTGTTTTATGGCCAGTGTTTTTAATACCTGCCAGGGCCAGAGCTGATGGTGGGAGGCTAAAATAAACCTCATGTGCCACCCCGAGGGGCTCCATGCAGAATATGAATGAGCAGGGAGCTGTGCTTTGACACAAGCTCAGGGACCAGGTCCAGACACAAATAACAGAATAGATCTGGGATTTTTGGGAGGCAGACTGCATCCCTCAGTTGCTATTGAAATTATAGCTGAGAGTGAGTGATTCCATCCAGGTTCTTCCTCTTCTTTGTTGAATTCCAAGGTTCCTCAGCTGAACTCTGAACTTTTCCCCTTACTTTGTTTCTATCTTTAAGGCAGATATTGTCAGTAAATTATTTAACAATTCTTCCTGGAAAACAGAAATTTACCCCCTGCACTGAAAAATATTTTAAAAGAAATTTTGACTGTCACCACCATCTGCAAAAATAATAAATCAAACTGTGAATGCTGGGAGAGCTTCTAAAAAACTTACAACCCAAACCTGGAGACAACCTTAACCACGTTATTTTGGGGAATGAGAGAACCCTGTTTTATGCACCCATAAAAAAGGAGGTTTATTAAACCAAACAAGCAAAATATTCTTATTTTGAAAGCAGTGAGTTGTGAGCAATAGGTGACCAGAGAAAATGGGCAGGGAGGTCATGAGGTACAAAGTTATTTGGCTACAACTATTGTAGCCAAATAACTTTGTTTTATTGTTCCCCAACGGAAATTTCATTCATGGAGCCAGCTGTTCATTGCAATTTTGGCTTCTTGGTTTCTGAATCATCTGTGAAGCAACTGCAGTAATTGTTTGGTGGTTTTTTCATGTATCCATTATTTGCCAGTATTATTTTGGTCCCATTTCCGTCTGCAGATGACCTTTCAAATAGAATAGTAAATGTGACCTTCCAGGATGAACACTCCCTCCAACAAGGAGACCCCTGCTCAGTGCTTGGAACTGCACAGATTTATTGCTCAGTGCTCCCTTATATCCCAAAATTATACCTGGTATGAAAATTTGATCTATTTAAAATCCAGCAATCTGGGAGGAAAAAAAAAAAAGAAAAAACAAAAGTGTATTTTAAGTATCTTCAATTTTCATTAAGAAAATCTTGAAGGTTTTCCTGTTTCAAATCTGGAGTGTTTGCAGCTTTTGAGGAATGGACTAATATGAGAGCTTGCACCTTCAGCATGGAAAACATCATAAAAAGTGGGTTTTTCCAAACCTTTTTAGTGGTTTAAACAACCTATCAGTTCATGGGAAAACAATGTCACAGAAGGGTTTTAAAGGAAAAAGCCCAAGAAATTTGTTCATTGATATTGGAACAGGGCATGAGACTGTCATTAGTGAAAACATCAGGAATTCTCTGTCTCTCTGACACTCCACCTCCTGCAATGGCCGCTCCTTGGCCAGTTTTTGGGAGAATCCATGTGGGAACAGGCTGTTGTCAAAGGACAGATGCTCCAAGGGAGCCACTGGGGGTTACAGAAGTCAGGAGGGAGAAGGATGTAGAAAGGGATGTTGATGTCACCTCAAATTTCTTCATGGTCTGCTGGTGAAATTTCCTAGAAACCCCTGGGGGACTGTTGCACCACGTTTATTCTTGGAATAGCAATGCCAGTTTCTCATCACTGATTTTGTAACACACCAGTGATTTGGCCAAGTGTATCTTTACACACATTTTTATGTATTTATGACTTTACCAGCCTGCTCGTGAGGCCATGGCAGCGCTCATTTCACACCCCTGGCTTGATGCTGATCTCTTTTAAAAGTGCAAATCCAGAATCCACTTTTGATTTTATGAGAGCTTATGAATGGTTGTTAATAAACCTGAGAGCTGAGTGCCCTGAGCACTTTCTGCAGCCCAGAGGTGAGGGAGTGGTTGAGCCACAGGTGAGAAAGGAGTGAGTTGGGTGATTCACCTCTCAGCTGCAGGGATTTGGCTTCTTGCTAAAACAGCCCCAGTGAGAAAAATACCTGAATGGTGCCTCACAAATGTTCCTGGGCCTGTTAATGTACTTCACACTTCCCTTGTCCTGACAGCATGCAGTGAGCAGCTCAGCTTCTCTCCTGCAGTGAAACATGGGCTCGTTTTCTTTGGAACAAAGCTGGCATCTCACAGATCTCACCAGAGTGTCCCACAATTTAGAAATGGTCTCTAATTTAACAACCCAGAACTCCACCATGGATGAACTTGAAAGGCTCCCCTATAAATTCTGGTCCAGACAAGGTGATGGAGATGGAAGGAGCCCACTGAGGAGAGAGGTGCTACTAAGGACATTAGTCCCATGTCCCAAAACAACACAGTGCCCTCATTTCCACTGCTTCCCTGTCGAAGTGTTTTGGGGTCCTCATCATGAGGATGCCTGGAGTCTTCTCTCAGTCTCCTAGACAAGTATAAAGGACTTTAAAATATTTTTAACCTAATTTTCAATGCAATAATCTCAACCGATTGAGAGATTGATATATTGCAATTACAATAATCTAGTGCTTGTTTGGTGTTTCCAAAGCACTTCACTAAGGGGATGACACAGTGCTGGGGGAGCTGCACAGTTAGCTCTCCTCTCTGCTGAACGCTCAAAACCCACTTTGAAACCCCTTGTGATGTAGCACTTACATTCCCTGAACATGATTCTTTCACCCAGGATTTTTCTCCTGGGAAGCTGAAAGGCGGCGAGAAGCCTCAGGAAAAAGGAAAACAATTCTTATCTCATTTGCTTCTCCTGTGTTGTGCTCATGTGGAATGTGTTTGGAGATTGTTTACCCACAGGTGATTGTTTCATTGCATTCTGAAATGAAATGTGTGAGTTATTTTCACTCTTTGGCCAATCAGGGCCAAGCTGTGTCGGGACTCTGGAAAGAGTCACGAGTTTTCATCATTATCTTTTTATCATTCAGTAAGTATCTTTTCTGTATTCTTTAGTATAGTATAGTATTCTTTAATATAATATAGTATAATAAAGTAATAAATTAGCCTTCTGAGGACATAGAATCAAACGCATCATTCTCTCCCCTCGTCGGGGTAGCCTGCTTTTCCAACGCCTTTCCCCACTTCCCCCGGCGGGATGTTCCGTAACTCACCTTACGCCGAACCTGACTTCCTTTTCTTCTCTTTGCAAAGGATTATGAGTACCCTCTTCATTCTCACAGTTCCCAGTACCAGAAGAACGACCGGTGCCCGCCGCCGCCGCAGAGCCTGCCGGAGCGCGCCTGCGAGGTGCCCAGCTGCCGCTCCGACGCCGAGTGCCAGCGCCACAAGCGCTGCTGCTACAACGGCTGCATCTACGCCTGCCTCGAGTCCGTGCAGCCCCCGCCAGGTACAGGGGGCCCCGGGGGAGCTGGGAGAGAGAGCAGCTGCTGGGGATGGGGGTGGTGGTCGTGGAGATCTTCACACGTGTTGGGCGCCGGGTGGGAGGTTGGAGTGCGGGTTCTGCTCCGCACTTGGGGTTTCTGCGGGGTTGATGAGTCAAAAAGTGTCCAAGGCAAGCTGGTGTGGGAAAATTTCCACTTGGGTGAATTGTAGAAGTCCCTCAAGGCCAGTTCTTTTCCTGGGATGGTATTTTCCATGTCCCATCCCTGGAAGTGTCCAAGGCAAGCTGGTGTGGGAAAATTTCCACTTGGGTGAATTGTAGAAGTCCCTCAAGGCCAGTTCTTTTCGTGGCGTGGCATTTTCCATGCCTCATCCCGAGAAGCATCCAAGGCAAACTGGTGTGGCAAAATTTCTGCTTGGATGAGTTGTGGAAGTCAGTCAAGGGCAGTTCTTTTCCAAGGACAGGCAAACTGGTGTGGCCAAATTTCTACTTGGTAGAATTGTAGAAGTCCCTCAAGGCCAGTTCATTTCCTGGCATGGCATTTTCCATTCCCCATCCCGAGAAGCATCCAAGGCAAACTGGTATGGCAAAATTTCTACTTGGTTGAATTGTAGAAGTCCCTCAAGGCCAGTTCTTTTCCTGGTGTGGCATTTTCCATGCCCCATCCCTAGAAGCATCCAAGGCAAACTGGTGTGGCAAGATTTCCCCTTGGGTGAATTGTAGAAGTCACTCAAGGCCAGTTGTTTTCCTGGCATGGCATTTTCCATGCTCCATCCCTGGAAGTATCCAAGGACAGCTGCTTGAGCCTCTAGGACAGCAGGTTCTTGTGGCCCTGGATAACATCCATGTCTCCCTTTCCACTGGAACAACAAAAACATGAATATAAGTCCAAATCAATCCATCAGGCAGCCTCCTCACAGGCCCTTAGAGGAAATCCATGACTTTTCCATAACTCTGTGCCCTGTGGATGCTACATCTTGACACTGTGGTCTTTTATTTCTGTCTTCTGCAGTCTTGGACTGGCTGGTTCAGCCCAAACCCCGCTGGCTGGGAGGCAATGGGTGGCTTTTGGATGGCCCTGAGGAAGTCTTACAAGGTACAGGACATTTCTCTGTCTTCTCTGCAATATCCATAATCCCACAAAAGCCCAGGAGAATGAATCCCTCATACACAGAGCTTGCCTGGGGTGTTGGGCTGCTGGGGCTGCTGGTATTTGTCTGGAGTTTCCACAGGAATAACTCTGTGTGGTGCTGGGAGCTGCTTTCTGATGCAATAAATACTTTTTATGGATATGGATTATCCAGCAGAGCACTAGGAATGCTGCAGGGTGCTGGGCTTGTACCCATTCTTCAAATAATTAGAGATATATCTTCCTTTTAGAGAAAGGCTTTGTCATCATACACATAATTTTCTGCCAGCTTCCTGATAGACCGTGGGTGGACTTGGAATGGGAGATCCTTTAATCCAGAGTGGCCTCATCACCCAGATGCCTTGGGCTGGGGCTGTGGCTCTTGGATCTGAAGATGACTTGGACAGGAGCTCTGGCAAACTGCCGCAGAGCTGTGCCAACTGGGGCATCTCAGTTTGGAGACTGACAATGAGGTTGAGCTTCTCGGGTTCATTCCATAGGGAAAGGGGTTTTAATTAATTTTTCCCAATACCTAAAACTGAAATAAGGAGGGAGTGGGAGGTGGGAAGAGAAGTTTTCTTCTATGAGGCATTCCCAGATATATGGACACCTGAAGTTTTTAGGTTTTTCATGGAAAAGTTAACCCAGCTTTTGATCAGCTTTAGTCAGATCCAGATAGTGCCAATGAATTCCCCTCTTTGGTCTTACACAGATGGTTTTAGACTCGCTGAGCCTCAACTCTCATCTATTATGGAAACTCCAAGTTCTTGAAGAGAAAATTCTGCCTCTAGCTCATTGGAGCTGCACAGCTAGAAACAAGATAAAATAGGTTCCTCCTCATCCATCCTTGTCATGCTTATATTATTTGTTCTTATCTGAACACCTTCATCTCAGCTTGAGGGAGTAATTAGGGAAGTAAGAACCATCAGTCATGGCATGAGAATTACAGCAGAGGTACTTGAAATTAAAAAGGAGAGGGAGGAGTGGCCCTGCAGAGTCTGTACATGTAATGGCCACAAACATGCCCAAGTCCTGCTTTACCTTCCCATTCTGAGCTGCACTTGCTGCCTGTCCTGGGTGAAAAGTGGTGAAACCTCTGTTTGGGACAGGGGTGGCACTGCCTGACCCCACAGTGAGTCACACCTGAGGTTTGGATTCAGCAGCAGGCCCGTGGGCGTGGAGCAGAGAGCAGAGCAGCACACTGCCAGCTTCCTGCTCACGTTCCCAACTCCTCAGTTGCTATAAAACTGGAGGTTTCCTATAAAACTGGAGGTTTATAGCAACTCCAGTTCAGAGCCTCGTGGGACGCACTTGTCCCTGCCTGGGGAGAGCAGCCCCATGGAGGGATCATCCTGCATGGTGGGCACTGGTGATGCCTCTCTGGGCTACCTAAAAACAGAGTTCAGACAAAATTTTATCAGAGGATAAAAAGCAGTTTATTTTATATTTGTTGCAGGGTCTTGAGGAACATTTAGGGCAGACAAAACCCACCCAAAAATGGATTATGAGTCACAGGTTTTCACGCTTTTATAAGTTTGGTCCATTTATATATTGCGGGTTAATCTGCCAATTGCAGCTTCAGCTAATGGAGTCATTTACCCCCAGTTTGCTCCCCCAATTCACTTTTGTTTCCATCTCTCAGGGCCTGAGGCAGTGAGGTGTCCTTGATTGCCAGGCCTGGAGAGGAATTGTTGTGTCTGCCCAAAATGGGAAAGCAGCAGTTGATACTGTGTGGAGCTCAGAGTTATACACTTGGTGCCTAAAGAGGCTGCCTGGAACAGAGGCTGGACAGAGTTAAAGGAATAAAGTAGGGATTTATTAAAAGGCCTTCAAAGGATACACCTTGGGCAGCACAAAAGCCAGGCCATGGCTACACCCAAGATGGATCCAAGATGGACCCCAGGTCACGAGTTTTTACACTTTTATAAGTTTAGGTCCATTTACATATTGGGGTCAATTGTCCAATTACAGCTTCAGGTTATGCAGTCCCACCCTCCCAGTTTGCTCTTGTCAGTTCACTGTTTTTTATACTTTTTGGGCCTGAAGCTGCTATGGTGTCCTTGATTCTGGGGCTGGAAAAGGATTGTTTTGGCTGACTAAACTGTGACTAGAACTTGCTAACACTTTATGTGAAGCTCAGAGTCACACACCCATGCAGTACGGAATCCAAAAAATACAAAAGCTACAACTTAAGGCGTCACACTAAAGAACTGCAGGATTACAAATACATGAGAAACACACAAGCTAAAACCCTGCAGCATCAGTGGCAGGCGGTGCCCACCCCAGGGCTGGCACTCCAGGCTGTGGGGAGAGTTTGTGCAGGGAATAGGGCTGAGCTGTGCCAGGAGGGGCCAGCCCCGAGCTGCCCCCGTGGCAAGGAGCCTGAGGAGGGGTGGTGGCCGTGCTGGGGTCCCCATGGGTGTCACAGCGTGGCTGGTGACCCGCTGGCTTCTCTTGCAGCCGAGGCCTGCAGCACCACGGAGGACGGGGACGAGCCCCTGCACTGCCCCACGGGCTACGAGTGCCACATCATCAACCCGGGCAACACGGCCGAGGGCATCCCCAACAGGGGCCAGTGCATCAAGCTGAGGGGAAACCCAGGTGGGTCAGGCAGGAAACCTCCCTCTGTGGGGTGATGCCTCTTTGTGACTCGCAGATGGGGCAGCTGAGAGGCGTTTTAAAAACTTTTTATTCCGTTTTCAGTCTCATGAGATACTGAAAGGGTGAGACGATATAGGTGGAATAATTCGCTCCATCACAGTCAGAAGCTAACTTCTGATTGTGCTAATTTCTTAATTATAATACGTGATAAGCATTCCTTGGCCTATCAGCTTTAGCCACACCATGCTGTAAATGCCTTAAAGCCAATAATCAAAAATTACCCCTTGTAAGCCCTACTCCAATGCATCTTTCACAGTTCTGTTCCTCCAAAGTATCTACTCTTATTTGCAAGGCCATCCTTTGAAACTTGTTTCTAGCTCCATTTCTCTCTCAACAATGTCTGTCCTATTCCTTGGCATTTCTAAGTCAGATTTTTTAGACTCAAGGTTTGCATACAGATGCACACTGTGTGAGCCTCCTGTCAGGCTTTGAGAATTTTCTACAAACCCATTTCCCCCTCACTCTTAAATAGAAAAAACTTCTTGTGCATGCTGATGTTTGCAAGGCAGAACCAGAAAGGAAGGGACCAGGACACTCATGCCAGTGTCCTCTGGGGCTGTGTCTGTGTGTTCTGTCACTACACAGCACCAAAATTAGAAATATTTATATGTTACTGCATGTTTCAATGAGAAATCTGAGTTTTAAATTCAAGTTTTGTGTTCTGACTTTGCTTTCTGCATCCAAAACTTTGTTGCCTTTATTCTGCTGATGCATTTGCCCAAAAAAAGAATTTCATACATGCCAGAATATTTTCCAGGAAAGCTCACAGCATGTTTAGATATTCATTGAATGGTAGGATATGTACACTCGCACTGGGCTACAAATCACCTCAGTGCAGAGACATGAGACATCAGTTTTGCCATTTGGTCACTGTAAAAAACAGGAGAAGCATCAGATCTCTGAGCTGCTTCCAAAACAGATTAAGAGTTTTTTCTAGAGCTTTTGGAGCATCTCTTTGATAACCTTTTCTTTAATAACATCCATAGTAACTAATGTAATGCAGAACTGTGGGGATCTTAGACATGAAGTATTTCTCAGGGCTTAAATAATTATATAAATGGCAAACAGAACAACCTAGCTGGAACTTGAATAATGTAAAATACTAATAGATGGTCTGAAAGGTTATCCAAATTTTATTTCATTTGGGAAAGCCTATGATTCCTTGACTTGTAGCTATTGAAAAGGTTATAAAATGCTAGTGGCAATTCCCACTCCTATGGCAAATGAGTTGTGTCCACAGAGCTCAGTAATCTCAGCAGTTTATAAGAGCTTTATAGCAAGCCAAATTGCTTCAGCCACAGAGAACTTTTATTTCCCTCATTGTGAGGTTATTATTTCCCTATCTCTAATTTCTCTGTGCTGCAGACAGGTCAGAGTTTAACAAAAAAAAAATGAAGGCTGACTGGGTATGTTCTCATTATGAACCTTCTTTTCCAGATGGACACAACCTGAGGCATAAGTACTACAAAGAATATTTTGGTAAGCCACTGGCATTAAGTGTTTGTTCTTGTTGTTATTGTTTATTATTAAGCTTTATCATTCTTGCAATACTTACAAGGAATTTCCTCCTTATGAAATGAAGGTTTGTACATAGAAAAAAAAAAATTCTTTATCTTCAATTCTCTATGCCTTGGTCAGATCTTATTTTAAGATCTACAATGCCCTGACTGTGGACTCGTGAGAACCAGAATTTTCAGCTGTGGCAAAATGAGTTAAATGATGCAGTCTTCTGCCAGGGGAACCACCCAGTCCAATAATCTTTTTTTTTATTATTTTTAAGCATATTTTTGGAGCTTTGCTCTTGGCCCAGGACTCCTCTGTGTTGCAGCTGAACACAGAGCTGTGTCAAAAGCAGTGTCTTGGACTGTGGTAAGAGATAAGTGATGGCTGGAGCCCAGTGAATTCCCTCAGAGGTGTCAGGTCCCTCTCACAAATCTGGGGCTCCAAGAAACCAGGAGCATCTCCCACATTTTTCCTCAGAGTTCCAAAGCTCCTGGTTTCTCCCTCTTGGATCTGGATCAGATTGGAAGTGACATTCAGGCATAACTAGACAGCATCTTTGACAAAAGATTTACAGACATCCACATCTGGCCACTTTGGCTGATAAAACCATTAGAGGATTTCCTTTCCTCTCTTCCAGTGTGGGCAAACCTAGATCTCTGCTAAATAATGATACCAATAAAACTGCACTGCTGAGGGAGCCTCCAGAAACCATTTGCCACAGCCCAACCCCAAACCTGACTTTGCTGATGTTTGTTTTACAGGGAGCAACTCCAACAATTTGGTCGGCTATGTGAAAAACCAGCAGAAGCATTTAGGCTAATTGAAGGTGTGCCTGGGTAAGTGCCCTGTGAATAAAGGGAAAGCTGGGTGGAAATAGCTGGTGCTTAGAATGCAGTTATTCAGAGAAACATTGTCTGAGGGTGAATTTCCTCTAAGCAAAATGCTGGAGTAAAGACAGCACCTTAAAACCCTGTGCAGGTGCATGAAACACTCTCATTCCACCAGACACACCTGATTTCTTTGCAAAACCTTTGCCTTGTGGGTGACTTTTTAGGATGAAAAATAATTGGTGTTCCTTAAGACTTTAAACTTTGTGTTTAGGGGTTTCTTCTAACACAGGTGTAACTGGGCCTGCCAGGCAAATTAAAAAGCTGTTTATTCTGGCCTGACTGCAAAAAGGGTCAGTCTTGCAAACACTTCAGCACATGGGGGGTTTTGTGGGATAATTTTATGTGTGTGAACATTTGGCACCCACTCATGTGAGCAAAGGCACGTTGATCCAGAGCCAAGCCAACAGCAAAAGCTCTGTCTGTTTTATCAGCCTTGCATCAGGCAAGAATGAAAATATTTATTACACCAGAAGTTCTGTCCCAAGATGGTTTTCTCAACACTTTCAGCTTCACTTTAAAATTAACTTGGGTTTAGCTGGGAGTTCTGAAAACAAAGCAGTTCAGTGTCTTTCTGTACCTACGTCAGGCTGGCTGTTAAGATTGCTCAGCTACTTAAGGACAAGTTCTGTGCAAACATCCTAAGAAGGATAAATATTTTAATCCCTCTTCCTTTTTATTTTTTTTTTCTTTTGTTGTTTGGTTTTCACCCAGCTGGACCACTCTGTCAAGGAATGCTTTACCCAGCAGCTTTCTGGTCCCAGATCTCCACAGCTCCAGCACCCCCTGATCCCTAACCATCACTGACAAAAAAATTCATTATCCAAGGAACAGGATGAGTCCAGATGCATGATCCAAGGAACAGGATGAGTCCAGATTCATTACCCAAGGAACCAGATGAGTCCAGATTCATTATCCAAGGAACAGGATGAGTCCAGATTCATTACCCAAGGAACCAGATGAGTCCAGATTTTAACCCCACCAGGAAGGGGAGAAATGTGATCCCCTGAAGGAAACCATACTGCTTATCAGCTGCCCTTCTACAAATGAAATGCAAACACCTCCAGGGATCCCTGTAAGCCACAGTGCCACGACCAGGCTGCTGACACAGAGCCTGCCCTTCAGGTGCTTGTTGTGTGACCAATTCAGATTTCAGGCCTGTGAACACAACCCAGTGACGTCAGAATTCCACCTAAATATCATATCTAAGTTGCTTTAAAACAGGTGAGACTAAAGAGGTTCTCTGGGTCAAATCCAGTGCCTGCCTGTCTTGAACAAGCCCTTTAAAGAAGCCTTTTCATCAGCTTAAAAATCAAAGAAATCTGCAAATTTCTTCTTTTCCTATTTATACCCAGATAAAAAAAACAGGCTTGACCCCCACTCTAAATGGCTAAACCTGAAGTCCTTAAAATTTGAGGAAGTTTGAGCTAGGAGCAAAAACAGCTTTATAAATGTTTTTAGGTTACTTTCCTCTTCTCAGTCTGGTGAGCTGCAGATTGAGGGTTAATAATGGAACAGATTCCTTCCTGCAATATCCAGGCTGACACACAAATGAATGCCAGGTTTTGTAATGTGCTGTTTTTAGCCAGCACAGTTAATACTCACAAAATCTGTGGGTTTGTACCTGCAAAACCTCAGCAAGAGGCCTGAAGTCTGGATAATATGTTAAATGTGTTAGAAAATCAAACCCAGGGTAAATTTTTGTGATGAAAAGGATGGTCTGGCAGATGGACTACTGCTCCTCAGGAGTCCTGTACCTTTGTGTTGATTTCCCTAAATCCTTAAAGCCTGGATATTTGTATTTGGACCTCACAGCAGCTTTGAGCTGTTTACCATTATACAATGGAAAACACATTTTCTATTAAGATGTGGCAGTCCTGAAGGGACAGTTGCATTTTTTGTGACAAACCAGCCAGAACTGTCTGGCAGAAAAGCCACATTTGCTCCATGGTTTAGTCCACGTCGCCATCTGCATGCATGAAATTAGCATTTTGATTTTCACAGTAGTAGCACTGCATAGAAATACCCAATTCACAAATGCGAGCGCCTGCTTCCACTCACAAAATACAGGATTCTTTTTTTCCATTCACTAAATGGTTTAAGCCAAATCCAAGACACCTATAAAACTCCTGATACTTTGCACATGACATTTGCAGCTGGAGAGATGGAAGGTGCCAAACTGCTCTTCTGTTTCCTATTCTAAACACACTCCTGGGTGCTTTACAGAGCAATGGAACAGCTGAAGGGCTCCACATGTTCCTAAATATCTTCATTTGTTCTACTCACTTTTTTTTCCAAAGTGCAAGATATTAAATGCAGCACCATGTTTGGACAGAGCTGTTTCTAGAATTTTATCCAATACAGCTTCCTGCAGTGAGATCTTAATTCCTCCTTGGACACAGGAGCCACAGAACCAGAGAATTGTGGTTTGGGTTGGAAGGGAGTTTGAAGCTCATCACCTTCCGCTAGAGCAGGTTGTCCAGGCTCCAATCCATATTTTATAGTTCCAATCAGACCACAAACTTGTCACTTATCCTACTGCAGCCTCGCTCCTCAGTGCTGCTCAGTGAAATGGATTGATTTTGTTCAGCATTACTTCCTGCAGAAAAAAAGATTAAATTCTGATTAAATGAGCAAAGCCCTTCAGTGATCACTGCTGGCCCCACAGCGTAGATGTCAAAATGTTCTGTTTTAAACTAAAAAATACCTAAAACCTTGTGAGTAGTTAGTTGAAAAACTAATGCTGAGCATTCACAAATTTGAAAGATTAAAACTTCAAATCTCAACCTAATCTCTCAAAGCAGCCCAAAATATGCTTAATTTGAGTGGACACATTCACTTCAGTGTCTGTTTTCTCTGTAGCTGCAGAACCACATACCTGACCACCTGGGTGGGACAGTACAGATATTTTCTGCTTGCAAAAGGAATTAAATAAATTTAAAAAAAAAAAAAGATAGAAAGAAAATTGACAAATTAATAATTTGATGGTGAATTTCTTTTTACTGGGTGTTTCACAGCCATCACCCTCCTTCGTGGTGCTATAATGCTCAGGGGGATTTTTCCAAGTTAATTCCAGTTATTAATTGTCAAACTCAGAAACAAAAGCCACAGAAGGGACTTGACAAAGTGCTGTGTTTTCAGCAGTGAAATGCTGAAATGTGAAACTCAGACACTGAAATGAAAACACAGAGCAGGTGAGCTGTCCTCAGCTGCCCTTCTCTCCAAAAACAGATGCTTCATCAGCAGCCTGGCACAGCACGGTAGGAAATGCCTGGTGTAGGATGTTTTTAACATTTTCATGACCACTCTGCAGTGTGTTTGGTGCTATGATAACCTTCCTGTGTGTCACTGGGTGCTGCTCTGCCCACAGCCTCCCACATCCCCGAGGATCTGGGCAGCCCCAGGCAGCCCCTCCCTGGTTTGTGCTGTTCAGGTTCTGCTTTGGTGCTCAATAAAAAGTGACCAGTCTGTTTGTCAACCCTGCCGAGTTTCTGTCGCGTCTTCTTGATGTACTTTCAGCTTTGGATTAGGGGAAAAAAAAATGGACAAATCTTCTAAATTTTACTTGTTGGGAGAACATAACACAAGCGTAGGGAGACAAAAGTCATTTTGTCCACTGGAAGGGAGATGATAGACCCCAAAACACATCCACCACCCCTGTCCCCTTCCAGAGGGGTCCCTGTTTTGGGTCAGACCCTCAGTTTTTGGCATTTTCCCTGCCCACAGAGGAGCTGGTGGACAGCCCTGGGGAGGCTGGGGGTCGTGCCCCAGGTGAGGTGACCCTCTGTTGGCACTGGGGCAGTGCTGGTGCTGCCAGCTCAGGTGCTTTGGGCTGCACCAGCAGCTGCCCAGGCAGCTTTGCAAGAACCTCAGAGGGTGCAGAAGCCAAGCAAGGCGAAGGTCAGAGCTGGGCTGTGCCCACTGCAGGACAGAGCTGGCACGGGACAGGGCTTGGGCCGTTCCCAGCCTCCATCATCCCACCTGCTCCACCCAGCCAGTCCTGCTCTACCTGCTCCTCAGGAGGGGCAGGAGCCCTCCTGCACTGCCCTGACAGCACAGCAGGAGAGGAGCTGCCTACAGCCACGGGGACAGCAGCAGGGCTGGCACCTGGGGAAGGTCTGGGGGGTTCACATGAACCCAGGCAGCAGCAGGTGTCAGGGGAGCTCCTGGATGTGCCCCTGGAGTTGTGCTTGGGATCACCTGGGCCTCTCATGGTCCTTGGGATCCTTGGGATCATTTGACCTCTCACGGTCCTTGGGATCACATGGACGTCATGTGGTTCTTGGGATCCTTGGGATCACTTGGACCTCTTGTGGTCCTTAGGATCACATGGACCTCTCATGGTCCTTGGGATCCTTGGGTCACTAGGTCCTCTTATGGTCCTTGGGATCCTTGGGATCATTGGACCTCTCATGGTCCTTGGGATTACATGGACCTCATGTGGTTCTTGGGATCCCTGAGATGACTTGGACCTCTCATGGTCTTTGGGATCCTTGGGATCACCTGGACCCATCATGGTCCTTAGGATCAATTGGACCTCTTGTAGTCCTTGGGATCCTTGGGATCACTTGGACCTCTCGTGGTCCTTGGGATCACCTGGATCTCCCCGTTTGGATGGGGAGGTCACAGGGGGTGTGCACATAACTCCTGTCTCCTGCTGGGAGGTGTGACAGCAACCAAGAACCTCGGCTTCCAGGAGAATGACTGGTTTGACGAACACCCCAAAATCATGGTTTAATTTCGGCTCATTTCCACACCAATGCAAGCAAATACAGTTTCAGCTGCTGTAGTTTGGTCGTGATCATTGTGGAAAAAGCACAGCATGACCTGAGGCAGTGTCTGGAGTGACACTGAAGTGCTGTCAGGGCATCCCAGGAACCAACAACGGGATCAGCAGGAGGACTAACAAAACAGATCTTCAAGGAGGCTACTCCTACCGCCAGAATAATATAAAATAAATTCTGATGTACCACTGTGTGGTGTTGGGGTGTCTTGGTCACCTTCAGGAAGTTTTCCATAGTTTGCTGAGCAGTGAAGAAGCCTCTGAGGTTTGGACAACTCATAAAAGAGTTTTTGGAGGCTGGAGATTTCTCTTTGCTCGTGACACAGCAGGGGTTGGCTCATACAGGGGGTTATTTTCTTCTCCCACCTCACCCTGGCTGCAGAGGCTGGATTTCCCTTTGGAGGTGGGGTTGGATGTGCATTGATTGTCTCTCTATGGCAAAAGGATTTACTGCATCATCTAGGATGCTTTAATGGTAAATTAAAAAAAAAAAACAAACAAACAAACAAACAACAAAAAAAACATACGAACAAACACAATCCAAAACAAACAAACAAAACCAAAAAACAGCCAAACAAAACCCACCAAACCCAAAACAAACAAACAAAAAAACAACAAAAACAAACAATGAAAAAAAAACAAAAGCAACCCACCTTATTCTGGTGAGTCTGCAGAGGTAAATCCTATTTCTTCCCATTATTTTCTCCTTGTCATTTTTCCATGTAGACAAAATAGCAAGAACAAGAGAGGCTGTGTAAAACAAAAAAAGATCTTTAGAGAGTTTTCCAGACAGAAATGTGGATGGTGGGCAGGTTCCACCCATCCTGAGCCCCCCACCAGGTGAGTCTCCCAATTTAAGCAATGGAAACTGTGCAAAAAGAAACCAAAAGCTTTCATTAAATTCCCTCTTCCTTCTCCATTACACACCTGGGGACAGACCTAAGGATTTTACTCAAGCTTGATGGGAAAAGATGTTTTTTGCTTTAAAAACCAGGAGCAGCAGAAGTTCTGCCCAGGAAAATCCCAACCCAAAAGTGAAGTATTTGGATTTTTGGGTAGCAGCAAACTCCATTCTACCCGTGCAGAAGAGATTTTTTCCCTCAAGGTGGCACAAGAGGAACAAAAGTGCAACAAGCCCTGGTTCTGGCAGGGGAGCAGGTGAAGGAGCTGTGAGTTTTGAGCTCACAGCATCATAATTTTGCACTCAGGGAGTCTCAGAGAATGGCTCCTTTGCTGTGTGTGTCTTTGTAACAGATATTTTCTACTTAAAAGACAAAAAAAAAAAAAAAAAGGTTTTCCAAATAATCTCCTTAGAACTGGAGCTTTATTATCCAATTAAATAGGAAATACTGTAAGGGCATTGTAATTGGGCTGTGTGTTATGTTTTTAGAGTGTGAAAATGATAGAGTGAAGAAATACAACTTGTATTAGTGTTGTTTTCTTAACTTTATTGTCCTGATTCAGTCTATTCCCAGCATTTTCTGAGCCATGGGATAGCAAAATACATTAATTTTTCATTAGATTTCCTAACATGCAGAAATCAACAGCAGGAAGAAAATGAAACTTGAGTCCATTCAGCAATTTCTCAGAGTGAGTGGCAAACAGCAACATTTTTTTTCCTGCATTTATTCCATCTCACCAAATATAATTTCCCATAACAGAACTGAGGGAGCACAAAGATGAGAGAGAGAGATGTTGTCCTGAGCCCAAACCACGCTGTTCCTCCCCAGTTTCCTGGATAATAAACCATCCTGCACTGATTGTTATGGTGCATTATTATACTCATCAACACGTTTTTCTCCTTTTCTGTGTCCTTTTTGTCTTGGAATTTCTCCCAGTCCCACTCAGGGCATTGTTCTTCCTCCCTAACCCGGGGTGTGGCCGTGGTGCAGATTCTGGATTTTGCTCTTGCAGCTCCATGTGTCTCTACAAGCAGCAGGGTTGTGCCAAGGGGATGATGCTAAACAAGGAAAGGATCAGCCTGTTGCTCAATTAGCCACGGTGGCTAACGAGGGCCACGCTGGGGCTGCCCAGACCACGGGCACACCGAGCACAGGATGCTCTTCATGGGCAGCAGCTTCATGGATGATGGGTGAGGATTTGGGGTGAGAAAATCAAAAGCAAAACCAAAGGGAAGTTTTCTTCCTACCTGCCTAGAGAGAGGGAAAGTATTTTCCACCACTTTTCTGGCAGAAACACAAGGATTTGGAGTGATGTTAAGATTGTGGCGACCACAAACACGCTCAGGTGGGCAGGGGGAGGGATTCCCTGGCAGGTAGTGCTGCTGTGCCATCTCAGGAGCTGGCAGAGCCAGCTGGGCGTGCTCCAGCTCCTTGGAAGAGCTGCACTAGGAGGGGGGACCAGTTCAAAAGCACAAATGAGCTCAGAGATGTTTCACTCCTGATTCCCATACGATAACGTCCAAATCCCTCTGTATCTGCTCCAAGCCCTGGCTAAGCACCTTACCTAAACCCTGGGCAGGGCCTGGATGTGAGATTCCCAAAAATCAGAGCCTAGCATCACCCCTGGCTCCTTTCCCATGGGAAGGAGCGCTGCTGGGTGATGCAGGAACTCCCTCCCTCCCTCTGCCTGACGCATCCAGCTCGGATCCTTGCGAAAGCATTGCTCAACCGAGGGAGCCAGGAAGACCCAGCTGGGTTTTACCAGATGCTGGCTCCCTTCAGGGTTTCCCAATCGCTCTGTTTTTCTCCCCAGGCTGGGAAGAAGCTCCTCCCTCCCTCCACAGCACCTCGGTGGGTGCTCTCTGTAGCTGCCTGGGGTGGCCCAGGGGCTCCTCAGCTTTTCCTGGACCTGGTGAGACCCGGGGGATGCAAAGAGGATACAGATGCTCCATGGAAAAGCAGTGTTTTGGTGAGGGTTTTGGCACCACAGGCTGTCACAGATGTCTAGGGGCTTGGCCTCATCATGGTCCAGAGCAAAATAAATGTGCAGTTTTCTGGACATTGTCCTTGGAGGAAACTCTTCTCCTGCAGAAAACTGCACATCTATTTTTCTCTGGCTGGGAATGACTTTTATTCCCTGGGTGCAGTTTTTACTGTCAAAGGAGGATGTGAATCTCAGGGACAGTTTGAGGGTAAGTGGATCCTGCAGTCACGGTGCCTGGAGGAGGATGTCGGTCTCCTGGGGCAAACCAGAGCATGATGCTCCCTGACAGGTAGACATAAATCTTT